CCAAAGGGCCTCCCTCGATAGGCTCCTGCAGTTGCCGCAGGACGGCCAATAGGCACGCAAGCCGCCTTGCCTATGTCTGCATGCTGCCGCAACACGTTTTAAATGAATACAAAATTAAGGATCATTTTTGGCTTCAATATCTTGTGGAAAAGAGGTTTTCCCCTAGCGTAAGATATTACGCAGTACGAGAGAACCTCTCGAGAACTACTTTTATGACTGTTATGCCGAATTCAGACTCCACGATTTTCAAAATAATCGGGTCACTGTTGTTTTCACACTGCATGACTATCTGGGGTAACATTCAGTTGCTGCTGTGTTCACACTGCACGATGGATCGGCGACAGGAGGTTTCACACTGCATGACTTTACAAAAGAAAGAATCGCCGACAACTTCTGCCTGGTCCGCAAACTACGTTTCACAACCAAACAAACGCGAGAAGTGATAGGAAATAACGGAAGATCACACATGCGTGAGACCGGAGTTCTTGCGCGACACTGAATTTGTTATTAAAAATGATAGCCTACAAATTGTCTGTGCACTGATTTGTAGCGAAAATGAAAAAAAAAATAATAATAAACAGTTTATGCAGGAAATGGTTGGGAAGACGAGGGGAGCAAGGACTGTGTTTTGCAAAGAGAGTTGGGGGTAAATAAATCATTTTGCAAATGTCTTGCTGTTGCTGCTGGTCATCAAAATGTTTGTGCTTTGTTTCTGTTTGATATAATTGTAAATATAGGCATATCTATTAAAATACTGATATTCTGGTCCTCCTCCTCCCTGTATCTTGCTCTCTCATTGGCTGTCGGTCATCGCCGATGTAGTTTTCAGTCAGAACACATTCACACAGCAGGATTGTGAATCGCTGACAGGTCCAGATATTTATTATGCCAAATATCTCACGGGCATCGGCGACTCGTCGGCGATTCTCTCAGATCGCGTATTTGCTCATTCACACTGCGTGATTGACACTCGCGTGAACGAGCACCGATTTGCCTGTGATTTCGGGCATTTGTCTGCGATTTCTCAAAACCTGTCGGCGAGCCAAAATCGGGGCTAAAATCGTGCAGTCTGAACTCGGCATTAGTCTACTGTGAGTGGATGACTCAGATTTATAAAATTAGCTTATGAACACAACTTAAAAAAGATTTTAAAGATAAGTGACTGAATTTACAGATTACTTTTGTTTTAAAGCAAACTGTCCATTTTGATGTACAGAATGAGCAGGAGCCGGAACATTATGACATTAAATAAAGATATGTAAAGTTTGCCGTCTCCACTGGTGACAGAAACTCAATGATTTTTCAGCAAGCTGCAGTGTTTTTAATTAAGTTCCTTCCTTGAGAAACTTCCTCATACCCACAAAACCATTGTCGTCACAGAACATTTGTGAATATCTGAGATGTAACTGATGATTAAAACCGAAACTAAACCCACTTTTAGCTGTACTCGTATTTTAAATTGAATGATTTTAAAGAGACTGCACAATAATTAGGCTATTATATTTTGTGCCATGTGGAATCCAATAATAATTTTGTGAAGACTTCACTATTCCACTGTCATTGATGTCCCATGTCAACAGTTGGAATGCACATGTAGACAGACACAAACACACTGATCGCTGACTCGATCGATCGATCAAGTTAATAATATTTTAGCTTGAGAGCATAAAATATTTTGGTAACACTTTATTTTAAGGTGCTTGTAATAAGCAGTAATTAACAGTTAATAAGACACTTATAAGACCTTATAAGATGCATATAATATGCATATAAGATGCATATAAGCATTAACTACTTCATATAAGGGTTAATTAAAGGTCCAGGCCCTGAAGAGATCAGGGAAACTACTCCCTCTTGGGAAGGCCAATTTTTAAGGTACTGGGAGTTTGTGTTACCATTTATGTTTGTTCGGCTGTTCTAAAAGTGCAATGTATTGATACTTGAGAAATGTATTATTTAATTTAATTTATTTATTATCATTAGTTAATGCTTATATGCATCTTATATGCATCTTATAAGGTCTTATAAGTGTCTTATTAACTGTTAATTACTGCTTATTACAAGCACCTTAAAATAAAGTGTTACCAATATTTTAATAAAATAAAAAGAGGCATAAGGAACACAAAACCAGCCATAATGTGAATAAGATAGCAGGCACAACTAGACTGTATGTACAGTAATTATACCATATTAACATTTATTATACCATATTAACATTTATTACAATCTTTTACATAATGATCCAGTTTTTTTTTTAAATAGCCACTTCTGGCAACTCAAGAACTTAAAAAAGAGGAAGATAACAGTAGCAACAAATCAGGAGCAGAAACAGAACGTGTTTGAAACAAGATGAGCCAGATTATCTTGCTGTTTTTTCCCGTTGTTTTTCTTTCATGTGTTTGAAACAAGATGAGCCAGATTATCCTGCTGTTTTTTAGTTGTTGTTTTTTTTTTCATGTGTTTGAAACTAGATGAGCCAGATTATTTTGCTGGGTTTTTTTTATGGTTCACAGAGATATGGTGATTCTATAAATGTTTTAAAAGCAGGTTTCCTTTTTTTAAGCAGACATATTTTCTTTCGCTTTCTCAGAAGTGTGATTGAATGAAGCAAAGGCGTTTTCACATGTTTCTCAGTGGTTATGTAAAATATCTTTTATTTTATTTTGTGCTGTTTGTGAGGAAGTTTGATTGTCTTTCCTAGCACTGTGTACAAACTGATGTTAATACTTTATAATGTACACATAATAATGTTGACAACATTACAATTCAAAATAAAGCCTAAATGGCTACAATTTAAATCAGCTCGAATCAAAATGAGTCTCACAAATCTGAATTCTAATAAAACACTTAAATTGCATTTAACAGTTAATAAAGTAAAGCAGGGTGGCTTTATCTTCCAGTCATAAATACTGTATTACTAAGTATAACCAATATACACTCACCTAAAGGATTATTAGGAACACCTGTTAAATTTTTCATTAATGAGAAATTAATCTCATTAATAATTGATTAATCTTATTAATCAATTATCTAATCAACCAATCACATGGCAGTTGCTTCAATGCATTTAGGGGTGTGGTCCTGGTCAAGACAATCTCCTGAACTCCAAACTGAATGTCAGAATGGGAAAGAAAGGTGATTTAAGCAATTTTGAGTGTGGCATGGATGTTGGTGCCAGACGGGCCGGTCTGAGTATTTCACAATCTGCTCAGTTACTGGGATTTTCACGCACAACCATTTCTAGGGTTTACAAAGAATGCTGTGAAAAGGGAAAAACATCCAGTATGCGGCAGTCCTGTGGGCGAAAATGCCTTGTTGATGCTGGAGGTCAGAGGAGAATGGGCCGACTGATTCAAGCTGATAGAAGAGCAACTTTTTACTGAAATAACCACTCATTACAACCGAGGTATGCAGCAAAGCATTTGTGAAGCCACAACACGCACAACCTTGAGGCGGATGGGCTACAACAGCGGAAGACCCCACCGGGTACCACTCATCTCCACTACAAATAGGAAAAAGAGGCTACAATTTGCAAGAGCTCACCAAAATTGGACAGTTGAAGGCTGGAAAAATGTTGATGAGTCTCGATTTCTGTTGAGACATTCAGATGGTTGAGTCAGAATTTGGCGTAAACAGAATGAGAACATGGATCCATCATGCCTTGTTACCACTGTGCAGGCTGGTGGTGGTGGTGTAATGGTGTGGGGGATGTTTTCTTGGCACACTTTAGGCCCCTTAGTGCCAATTGGGCATCGTTTAAATGCCACGGCCTACCTGAGCATTGTTTCTGGCCATGTCCATCCCTTTATGGCCACCATGTATCCATCATCTGATGGCTACTTCCAGCAGGATAATGCACCATGTCACAAAGCTCGAATCATTTCAAATTGGTTTCTTAAACATGACAATGAGTTCACTGTACTAAAATGGCCCCCACAGTCACCAGATCTCAACCCAATAGAGCATCTTTGGGATATGGTGGAACGGGACCTTTTTGCCCTGGATGTGCATCCCACAAATCTCCATCAACTGCAAGATGCTATCCTATGAATATGGGCCAACATTTCTAAAGAATGCTTTCAGCACCTTGTTGAATGAATGCCACATAGAATTAAGGCAGTTCTGAAGGCGAAAGGGGGTCAAACACAGTATTCGTATGGTGTTCCTAATAATCCTTTAGGTGAGTGTAAGTATAACCAGGGGACAGAGAGAAGATAGATGAGGTATATATAAAGGTGGTCAGTACAAAATGCCATGGCTATAAATGCAACTTGCCAACAATAATATATATATAAATAAATAAAACAAACCAATAAACAAGGAAATAAAAAGTGATAAATAGAAATAAACTAAAAACAAAACTAACCCAAAAATTTGCCATTACTGTGTTAAAGGTATGTAACAAACTTTATTTTTTATCAATAGAGAGTTTACTGTAATATAATTCTTTCCAAAAAGTTACACAACACTCTGTCTGGTAACTGTGATGTCAACTTATTCGACCGGTTGATTAACATTAAGAATTTTTAGTTTTACTTTCCCTCATCTCTAATAGTGTGACTTAATCACAATGTAACTTAATCACTCAACGTCACTGTCTTCCTTTTCGGCATCACTGGCTTAAATGACTTGACAGGTTGATTAAGTAATTTCCAACAGGTCAAAGACTTAATGGTAAACCCACTAATTAACCGTGAGGATTCAGAAATACATTTTTTACTCTTCACTTCATTTACAGAAACACTTTACATATAATAAATAGAACCTCACAACAGACAACAACAAAAAGTTGTTCCCATCAGATATATTTCATAACCTACAATGACAGAGGAAGTATGATGCTTTTCAAAGATATAGAAAGAAGTCACACCTTCAGAAGATGCACATTGTCTCCAGCGATAACAGATCTCAACATTCCTCAGCTGTGAGGTCATTTGAGCTGCTGGGATGGACCTCGATCACATCCCACATTTAATAGATGATATAAAAGCGAGAGAGAGAGAACCTACAGGTACAACAGTGAGACATCACAAACTCATCGACATCATGATCTTCGCCATCACATGCCTTGCCCTAGTGGCCTCTGCTCTGGGTAAGTGTCTTCTTTAGAAGTTTGCAAGAAAAGGTATGGCTGAACATATATATTTACAAAATGCAAAACCTACACACAGAGCTTCATGTGTCATGAACTTCTGTTCTTTATCTACAGGTTGTGGAGTGCCTTCGATTAAGCCACAGACGATTGGCAGCAAGATTGTGAATGGACAGAATGCCATCTCTGGTTCTTGGCCCTGGCAGGTCTCTCTCCAGGTAACTGTGTATTGACCGACTTTTATCCTGCATTTGCCTGATTTGGTCATAGAGTATATGTCATGTTCCCTTTCGAGGGAACTCGCGATGCGTCACTTGACGCTTTGGGAACGCCCCCAGCGTGAATGCGTCTGAGCATCAATGTCAACTAGTCCAATGGAAAGAATGAGCGTCACGGGCGGGTGACGTCATGACCAGGAAGGGATAAAGGCTCACCCGGTGAAACGCGGCATTAGCTTCTGTGTCTCAGCAAGCGATCTGTGTTACTCTGTCTCTGTCTATTTATTGTTGTCTGTTACGATATTATTGGGAAGAGTTATGGCGAAACAACTTTACAAACTCTGTGCTTCTCCCTGCTCGCGTTATTTAACGGGTGGGGACACACACGAGCTTTGTGTAGTTTGTTTGGGAGTGGAGCATGCGGTATCAGCCTCCGAGGGGGCTGATTGCAACATTGTGAGAAGCTTTCGCTTCGCATGCTCCACTCCCGCCTGTCACTTTTCGAGGAAAGTGGCCAGGCTCGCGATCCTCGGGGTGCAGGACACGCGTCTGCCGAGGCAGCGCGGAGTAGGGCTGTTTTCGACTAAGGATTTTCATAGTCGAATCTGATTCGTTAGATTTTGCCGTAGTCGACTGATAGTCGTTTTTTTTTTTTTAGATAGCAGCTAGACGTTCGGTTGAATAACTGTTCGTCTGTTATAGGACAACTCGCTCTACGTTTATTTAAAATGAACAGCAAGACAACTAGAAGTGAATGTGCTTTCCATTAAATATATCCTTAACAAAAAAAAAAAAAAACGTTGCAATGAACGTGCTTTGTTTTAAATAAATCACACACAGTAAACAAAACCTTAACAACAAAAACTTTGCAATGAACTTTGCAATTTAGACGCGCAAACTGCGAGCCGGTGCGGTGAGACATAGCCTACATGCTCGGGCAGATTCGGCTTGAAGTCGTTCATCCTCGGATGCGGCGCCGCGCGCTGTTACAAAAAAAGCTGTGCACACAGCCAAGCGAAATGGGGTCTTGCCGGTCTTGCACCCAACGCGTCATTTTTTGCCGTGCGCACCTTCGCGCTCGTGCGGACGCGTCGAGTATAAACAAGGCTTTACTCCGTGTCAGCGCGCGCTCTGATCGGTAAAGGGGCACAGACCTCTCCCGAATCATCTCCAGCACTCAGCCTCCGATCGCACCACTAACTCCGCCTCCGCTTCCCTCATAAGATGATATTAGTATTTAAACATTCTCTATGATAAAAAATGTTTGTAAAAAATATTTGAATAGCACGGTTTTGGCGGTTATAGAGTTCTAATGACGGTGTTCACCTATAACCATCGTCTCACGGTAATATAATACACCCCTATTGGTTACGTAACATAACACTTCCCTATTATTCGACTATGAGGTTCACAGTCGAATCAGACCTCTCCGAATCGAATCGTCGAATCCTCGACTATTAGAAGTCAGCCCTAGCGCGGAGAATGCATTCCTGTGGATCGCGAATAGGATCTCGTTACGGGGTTGGAGACGGGTCCGCGGATCTTATCTCCTCCCTTTCCACGAGTGATCCAGTGCTCTCTCTCCGGTCTCGGAAGCCCGCGCTGCGGTCTCTTCCGCCCGGGGAGAGAAATCAATGCTTCAGTGCTCTACCTCCGAGGAGGTAGATGTGCTGGGCATTGAAAGTGTACACAAAAAGTTTTTTTTTTTTTTTTTTTTTTTGTCTGAACGGCCCATAAAACTTGTACATCGGCGGCCCATTGCGTTTAGTTTTGTTTAATTGGCGGCTCTGGGATCTTTGTGCCGGTGTAATGCATTGGACAAAAAAGTCCACGTAGTTTTTTCTTTTTCTCACAGACCGGCGCATGATGAAACGCGTAAATCAGCAGCGCATTGGTTATTTTCTTGATTGACACTGGGCTGGTCCAATCACATCTTTAAACTCCTCCCCCTTTGAGCTCTGAGTGAGCGAGCAATGTCAGTGTGTATCTGTCAAAATAGTCAGAGCGATGGAGAAGAAACGCAAGGAATGTGCAGAGAAATAGCGTGAAAAAAGAAACTTCAAAGGCCCTTCAAGTGTCTGATGAGGATAGTGAGGAGGATAAGGAGAGAGATGAGTGAGTGCAGAGAACTGTGGTAAGCAGAACTAGGCTACTGTCACAACACTTGGTGTGTTCACACCGAACGCGAATAGAGCGTCAAATACGCGTCTATCGCGTTTAGTTAGACGCTTGAACATTCGCTCGAGTTCAAATTTTTCAACTTGCGCGGAAGACATTCGCGGCAAACGCGTCGTTCAATTCGCGTCATTCGCAACGCCCGGCGCGAATGATGCGTCTATTCGCGTCTTTGTATTGACTTTGTATGTAATCTACTCGCCCAAATAATTAAATTCGCGTTCGGTGTGAACACACCATGCTATGTAGGAACCCACTACCCAGTTACCCATTATTTACACATCTGCATATTTGACGATTACGAATTTTATTCGAATTGTAATGAGACAATAATGAGTAATGAGTTTGTAAACCATATTTTTCTTCAAAATAAAAGCTCGATGCCGTTTCCGTCAAAATAAAAGATCATGTGCTTCTCTGTATAGAAATTAGTACGAAACTAATTATGAAAGTTGCTTTTATTTTTCAGTGCATTTGTTTTACAACATATGGCTATTACTGCCATGGGATTAATATTATAACTATTATTATGCAGTAGTTTAATGTAGACAGACACTATATCACAACTAAAAGAGTTTTGAGTTTTTCTTTGTTCAATTTGCACACTGAATATGAGTTGGAGCTCTTTATTTTTAACTCTCAAAGTGCACCAGATTGATGAATTTAACATTAAAAAGCACAAAATTTTCTTACGGGGGAGCATGCCCCCGAACCCCCCTAGAGGGACAGAGGTGCACTCACCACAGATTTCACAAGAAACCTGTGCGAAAAAACGGTATTGCTATCCCAGCTTATAGCTTTCTTTAGAATTCATCACTGTGGAGTATAGTTCAACTTAGTAGTTATTTCATCGGTTAAACTCTTAATCACTACTATTCACTTATGGCATTAGTGGTTTTAATAGGAGTTGGTATACATATTCAAGGGCGTGCAAAGTTCGGTTGTGTTATATGGTGGGCCAGTCTGGGCCAAAAATGCCCGGGCCGATTTTTTGTCCCAGTCCAGCCCTGGTATAGACGCAGCTCTGGCCCCGCCAGGCTGCAGTGTATACGCATTCTGAATTGCATAGATGACTGGCTGATTCTAGCGGAATCAGAACAGTTAGCGGTTCGGCACCGAGGTGTCGTTCTCGCTCATATGCAGATGTTGGGGTTGAGGCTCAATGCCAAGAAGAGTGTTCTTTCTCCAGTACAGAGAACCACTTTCCTTGGTGTGGTATGGGATTCAGTGACGATGCGGGCCAATCTATTGCCCGTTCGTGTAGCTGCTATCCTGACAGCCACCATAGAGCTAAAGCTAGGCCAGTCACGCACTGTAAAACAGTTCGAGAGACTGTTGGGTCTTGTGGCAGTAGCGTCCAACGGGATACCTTTTGGCCTGCTGTACATGAGACCTTTGCAGTGGTGGCGCAGGACCAGAGGGTTCTCCCCGAGGGGAAACCCACTTCGTATGATCAAGATCACGCGGCCGTGCCTTCGTGCCTTGGTTATATGGAGGAAACACTGGTTCTTAACCCAGGGTTCGGTGTTGGGAGCTCTTTGCCATCGAGTTGCTATCTCGACAGATGCTTCCCTCACCGGCTGGGGAGCGGTATTGGAAGGCCGCTCAGCTCAGGGCTTGGGAGGAGTCATCATCTCGCTTGGCACATGAATTGCCTAGAGATGATGGTCGTCTTCAATGCGTTGAGACATCTCCTCCCAGACCTGAGGGGCCATCATGTGTTGTTCTGAAACAGTGACTGTTAGGCCTCAGGGCAGCAGCGTTCAATGTGATACCCTTTGACCTGCTGTACGTGAGACCTTTACAGTGGTGGCTCAGGACCAGAGGGTTCTCCCTGAGGGGAAACCCACTCCGTACGATCAAGATCACGCGGCAGTATCCCCGCGCCTTGGTTATATGGAGGAAACTCTGGTTCTTGACCCACAGACAACACGGTGGTGGCCTATTATTTTGGTCCCTCAGGAAATTACGCTGTCTGAGGGCAGTGTATATTCCAGGGGGGCCAGAATATTGGAGCAGACACCCTGTCGAGGCAGGGGCTGAGGCCAGGGGACTCCACCCCGAGGCGGTGGAGCAAATATGGGAGTTTTATGGCCAGGCAGAAGTGGATTTGTTCTCGTCTCAGCATACGACGCACTGTCCACTCTGGTTATCCCTCACTCAACCAGTCCCCACAGGGCTGGTTGCTATGGTGCAGACGTGGCTGAGGCTACGTCTGTACGCATTTCCCCCTGTTGCTCTGCTCCCAGGAGTTCTGGAGTGATTCCGCCAGGATGGAATAAGCCTATTTAGTAGCACCACCCTGGCCGAGCTGAATTTGGTTTGCGGACCTAATTTTTCTCCTCGACGGACCTCCCTTGGAGGTCCCGATCAGGAGAGACCTTCCGTCTCAGGCAGGGGATGCAATATTGCACCCCCGGCAGGGGATTTGGAAACTGTGGGTTTGGCCTCTGAGGGAGCCCAACTCATAGAGAGTGGTCTCTCAACCGAGGTTGTTGAGACCATTCTAAGCTCCAGAGCTCCCGCTACGAGGAAACTATATTCACTATTTCGAGAGTTTTTCACTTCTTGGTGTTACCAGCGTCAGTGGGATCCGGTTAACTGTTCAGTAAACACAGTATTCGAGTTTCTGCAAGAACGCTTTGTATCAGGTCTATGTCCTTCCACGCTTAAGGTATACGTGGCGGCCATTGCGGCTTTCCACGCCCTGGTGGGTAGTACATTTTTGGGTCGAGACCCCCTGATCACTCGTTTCCTTCGTGGCACTTTGAGGCTGAGGCCTGCAACTTGCACTAGGGTGCTGGCTTGGGACCTTGCAATAGTTCTAGAAGGCCTATCTGGGGCTCCCTTCGAGCCCTTAGATTTGGTCTCAGAGAAGTTCCTTTCTTTTAAGACTATTTTCTGCTAGCTATTTCGTCCCTATTAGAGTCAGACCTTCAGGCCCTTTCGGTCCCCACCTGCCTTGAGTGCACCGGGGATGGCCAAGGCATTCTTACCCGAAACATGGATATGTTCCAAAGGTGCCTACCATTATTCCGAGGCCTGTTGTGCTGCAGGTTTCTGTCCTCCTTTTACATCTGCGGACCAGGAAAGGCTGAACCTCTTGTGTCCAGTGCGAGCACTGGATACTTATGTTCATCGGACATCTTCTATGAGGAAGTCCAACCAGTTATTTATTTGCTTTGGATCACCTAAGAAGGGTCTTCCTGCTTCTAAACAGACGGTTAGCAAGTGGATAGTCGAGGCTATTTCACTTGCATACGAGTACTCTGACCATCCGTGTCCCTTGGTGGTCAGAGCTCACTCAACGAGGGGTATGGCGGCCTCTAAAGCCTTGTTATTTGGGGTTTCCCTCCAAGACGTTTGTGATGCGGCAGGCTAGTCCTCACCGCTCACATTCGTCAGGTTTTACAGTTTGGACCTGGATGCTGCCCCAGGTTCTCAGGTGCTTAGTGCTTAGTTCCAACAGACTGACACTCAGGTACTTGGAATTCTGGCGTTTTGGGTATTCTCGTTCCCAAAGCGTCAAGTGACTTATCGCGAGTTCCCTCGAAAGGGAACGTCTCAGGTTACTACTGTAACCATAGTTCCCTGAGAAAGGGAACGAGACGATGCGTCACCCTGCCATACTTCCTGCTTCCCTGTGATCGGCTTGCTTCGACTTTTTGAAGCTAATGCCGCGTTTCACCGGGTGAGCCTTTATCCCTTCCTGGTCATGACGTCACCCGCCCGTGACGCTCATTCTTTCCATTGGACTAGTTGACATTGATGCTCAGACGCATTCACGCTGGGGGCGTTCCCAAAGCGTCAAGTGACGCATCGTCTCGTTCCCTTTCTCAGGGAACTATGGTTACAGTAGTAACCTGAGACGTTTTCAATGCTTTTACCTCTGAAACAGCAACCCAGTGGATTCCACTTCTGCGGTGGATCCCTGATCAACCAGAACTGGGTTCTCACTGCTGCTCACTGTGGTGTCGCGTAAGAGTCTTTAATCTGACAAACGCCACATACAATAGTGCTTTATAGATGCTGTTTATCTTTCGTTTTTACAGTTAGTTTTGTCTTTACTGCTCTCTTTTTAGGGTCGGCTATCATCGTGTCATTCTTGGAGAACATGATCGTGGCTCCAATGTTGAACCCATCCAGGTCAAACTAGTTTCCAAGGTAAAGATGTTGAATAATTTCAGCGATGAATATCAAAATTAGAGATCAATACTATATACTATTTTTTAATTGTTGGTTAATTTCTGCTTTTTCACACAACTGAATTGAACTTAATCAACACTGAACTGACTTGAGCTGAATAATGACACTATTGTGTTTTTAGAGCTGCTTTACAGCAGAATGTGTATGTGTCTTATATTTGGTAAAGTTTTCATCCTTGATTCTGTTATTTTCCTGTTTAATAGTGATCAATATTGTATAAAGTGCTATATAAATAAAGGTGACTTCACTTGACAATAATAAAACAAGAGATCACTGGACTAGAAGAATATAGAAACTACAAATAATATGCATTATAAATGTTCATTATGAATCCATTATTATCATTTTAAATTACTTGAAAGTTTATCCAATAAAATAAGATTTTTTACCTGTTCATTTGAATTAAGTGGAAAAATAGGTAGTAGTCAAATTATTTCTAGATTCACTTTTGGTCAATGTCTGTCAGCTTTGAAGTCTAGTTTACTCCTAAAAATTACCCAAATAGATTTACAGATTTAAAATTGAGCATAGGAAGGAAAACATCTGTACCATTTTCTCAAATTAACATTCATGCTGAAGGTAAAAGGAAATGCATGAAAGGCTTAAGACGTTAAGACATGCTTACATGTATATCTTAGATTACCATCCATAAAGTCCACTATAGTAACCGCCCATCTTTTTCACTTGTTTCTGTCTGTGCAGGTCATCACACATCCGCTCTACAGCAGCTCGACCACCAACAATGACATTGCGTTGCTGAAACTTGCGTCTCCAGTTGTCTTCACTCCCCGTATCTCTCCTGTATGTCTGGCTCCATCAACCATCAACATCCTGCCTGGAACTCGCTGCTTCACCACTGGATGGGGCGCAACTGCCACCACATGTAAGTTAGACAAAGACCTGTTAGACAAAGACAAATTGCAAAATTTACTCTTGTATATTACTTGTTTTGTTTTGTTTTTTCCACATGACTCTGAACAGTCTGTCTGATGTTCTCTTTTTTCAGCGAGTCCTCTAATCCTGCAGCAAACAGGTCTGCCCATCACAAGTCCTGCTGTGTGCAGACAGATCTGGGGTCAGAGAAGAATCACTGATGCCATGATCTGTGCTGGAGCCTCTGGATCCTCATCTTGCATGGTACGTGAAGACAGATCAAGAAAAACACATTACCATATTAACGTTGCTGCTGTTTCGATCTCAAATGTGTGTTTGTGTCTGTGTGTTTCCCACAGGGTGATTCTGGTGGTCCTCTGGTGTGTGAGAGTTCAGGGGTCTGGACTCTGGTGGGGTCTGTGTCCTGGGGCACCAGCACTTGTGACACCCGTTACCCAGTAGTCTACGCCCGCATCTCCCAACAGCGCTCCTGGATCGACAAGACTATCGCTTCCAACTAGAGCCAGTCTGAGCATTTACCCTTCAAAGGAGGCAAAAGCAGAGTTTAATCATTAATCTGTATCACAATTGGTCCTTGTTGATGGTCTTTTTGTTTATGACTTTTGGCCTTGTGTCAGTCTGGGCTCTTGTGATCTGCCTGTTATGTTTAATGTTTTGTTTTTTGGTTCATGTTACATGTATCGGCTTAAAAAAAATAATGAAAACTTCTGGTAATGAAATAATGAAAATAAAATGAAATGAATACAATAAATTGAAATGAAGTGTACTCATTTATCTGAAGTTAAAACATAAATTACAATAATCCACATAAAGTACAGCAAACAAAATTAAATATAAAATATTTTCCTTAAAAATATAAGTACTTTAAAAATATATACAACTGTTCCACTTTCACAGTAACAAATGACTGACAAAAGTGTATTTAACAACAGTGCATGAAAAGCTACTAGATACTAACTTCCAAACAAGTCAGGATTATCAGATGTTCTCACCTGTACAGATAAACTATTTACCAAAGGTAATAAAATGCACATGATGTTCACTAACCACCAAACATACAGGCATAAAGATAGATAAAGACAGCCAGAAAAAATCCTTCTGATCACGTTGAAAATCTTCTTTGGTATTCCCTTTTGTAAACATGCCAAGATGACACAGATATGTTTAATCCTCTATCCATGGTGCTGAAACCTGTGTGATGTCTTCAATCAGAAGCAAAAGACACCCAGATACAAACTGGAGAGAAACTTGTTGAAACGCTTCCATTAGAATATGACAAACACTGTTCCATATACTGATTCAGACAATGACTAAAATTTAAGTCATAGCACAAGTATAATAATTCTTATTGTTTATAGATTTAGATGCACTTTTATGAGCACTATACTTTTATGACTGTTTGTTAGTCTAGTGGATGACTTAGTAATACTCTGTTGTTTTTCAGTTTCATAACATTATCTTATGTACACAACTTTAAAAAGATTTGAAATGATGGGGGTAGGGGGGGGGGTTGCATTTTACAGATAAGTGGCCATTGTCAATAGAACAAAATGCTTTTGAGGGGGAAAATCACATTTTGATTGTTTTGATTATTTTTGTTTACAAGCAAACTGTCCATTTTGATGTACAGAATGAGCAGGAGCCGGAACATTGTGACATTAAATAAAGATATAGTTTGCCGTCTCCACTGGTGACAGAAACTCAATGATTTTTCAGCAAGCTGCAGTGTTTTTAATTAAGTTCCTTCCTTGAGAAACTTCCTCATACCCACAAAACCATATCCTCCTTCTCAGGACATCTGGAGGACATCATTGTTGTCTTGCATTGTCGTCACAGAACATTTGTGAATATCTGAGATGTAACTGATGATTAAAACCGAAACTAAACCCACTTTTAGCTGTATTCGTATTTTAAAATGAATGATCTTAAAGAGACTGCACAATAATTAGGCTACTATTTTGTGCCATGTGGAATCCAATAATAGTTTTGTGAAGACTTCTAAACTGTTCCACTGTCATTGATGTCCCATGGCATGTCAGTTGAAATGCACATGTAGACAGACACAAACACACTGATCGCTGACTCGATCAAGTTAATAATATTTTAGCTTGAGAGCATACAATATTTAAATAAAACAAAAAAGAGGCATAAGGAATACAAAACCAACCATAAAGTGAACAAGATATCATGCACAACTAGACTGTATCTACAGTAATTATACGAAATATTAATATTTATTACAATCTTTTACTTAATGATCCAGTTTTTTTTAAAATAGCCTGGCACTTCTGGCAACTCAAGAACTTTAAAAAAGGAAGTTTACATTAATAACAAATCAGGAGCAGAATCATGTGTTTGGAATGAGATGAGCAGATTATCTTGCTGTTTTTTTTTTTTGCCCCGTTTTTTTCCTTCATGTGTTTGAAACAAGATGAGCCAGATAATCTTGCTTTTTTAAACCTCTGTTTTTTTTCTTTCTTTTTTTTCCTTCATGTGTTTGAAACAAGATGAACACGATTATCTTGCTGGTTTTCTTTCCTGTTTTTGGAAGTTTGATTGTCTTTCCTACTGTGTACACACTGTGTAAATACTTCAAAATGTACACATAATAATGTTGACAACATTACAATTCAAAATAAAGCCTAAATGGCTAGAATTTAAATCAGCTCGAATCAAAATGAGTCTCACAAATCTGAATTCTAATAAAACACTTCAATTGCATTTAACAATTAGCGTTAACTTTCATTACATCATCAGTCCACATACTGTGAGTCTCACTGACTATGTCAATATATGGCAATAATTTATTTATATATATATATATATATATATATATATATATATATATTCAATATATTTTTTTTTTATAAAAAATAAATAAATAAAACAAACCAATCAAAAGGAAATGAAAAGTAATACATACAAATAAACTAAAACAAAACTAACCCAAAAAATTGCCATTACTGTGTTAAAGGTACATGTAACAAACTTTATTTTTATCAATAGAGTTTACTGTAATATAATTCTTTCTAAAAAGTAAATGTAAGTGATGTTGCAGAAAAGCACGCAGTTGCACAACACTCTGTCCGGTAACTGTGATTGTCAACTTATTCAACCGGTTGATTAACATTAAGAATTTTTAGTTTTACTTTCCCTCAGCTCTAATAGTGTGACTTAATCACAATGTAACTTAATCACTCAACATCATTCTCTTCCTCTTCGCATCACTGCCTTAAATGACTTGACAGGTTGATTAAGGAGGCAGCTAGATAGATAGATAGGTAGACAGTCAGATATATAGATAGAAACAGACAGATAGACAGATCAACAGGTCAAAGACTTAATGGTAAAGCCACTAATTAACCGTGAGCATTAAGAAATACATTTTTTAGTCTTCACTTCATTTACAGAAACACTTTACATATAATAAATAACCTCACAACAGACAACAACAAAAAGTTGTTCACATCAGATATATTTCATAACCTACAATGACAGAGGAAGTATGATGCTTTTCAAAGATACAGAAAGAAGTCACACCTTCAGAAGATGCACATTGTCTCCAGCGATAACAGATCTCAACATTCCTCAGCTGTGAGGTCATTTGAGCTGCTGGGATGGACCTCGATCACATCCCACATTTAATAGATGATATAAAAGCGAGAGAGAGAGAACCTACAGGTACAACAGTGAGACATCACGAACTCATCGACATCATGATCTTCGCCATCACATGCCTTGCCCTAGTGGCCTCTGCTCTGGGTAAGTGTTTTTAGAAGTTTGCAAGAAAAGGTATGGGTGAACATATATATTTACAAAATGCAAAACCTACACACAGAGCTTCATGTGTCATGAACTTCTGTTCTTTATCTACAGGTTGTGGAGTGCCTTCGATTAAGCCACAGACGATTGGCAGCAAGATTGTGAACGGACAGAATGCCATCTCTGGTTCTTGGCCCTGGCAGGTCTCTCTCCAGGTAACTGTGTATTGACCGACTTTTATCCTGCATTTGCCTGATTTGGTCATCGAGTATATGTCATGTTTTCAATGCTTTTACCTCTGAAACAGCAACCCAGCGGATTCCACTTCTGCGGTGGATCCCTGATCAACCAGAACTGGGTTCTCACTGCTGCTCACTGTGGTGTCGCGTAAGAGTCTTTAATCTGACAAACGCCACATACAATAGTGCTTTATAGATGCTGTTTATCTTTCGTTTTTACAGTTAGTTTTGTCTTTACTGCTCTCTTTTTAGGGTCGGCTATCATCGTGTCATTTTTGGAGAACATGATCGTGGCTCCAATGTTGAACCCATCCAGGTCAAACTAGTTTCCAAGGTAAAGATGTTGAATAATTTCAGCGATGAATATCAAAATTAGAGATCAATACTATATACTATTTTTTAATTGTTGGTTAATTTCTGCTTTTTCACACAACTGAATTGAACTTAATCAACACTGAACTGACTTGAGCTGAATAATGACACTATTGTGTTTTTAGAGCTGCTTTACAGCAGAATGTGTATGTGTCTTATATTTGGTAAAGTTTTCATCCTTGATTCTGTTATTTTCCTGTTTAATAGTGATCAATATTGTATAAAGTGCTATATAAATAAAGGTGACTTCACTTGACAATAATAAAACAAGAGATCACTGGACTAGAAGAATATAGAAACTACAAATAATATGCATTATAAATGTTCATTATGAATCCATTATTATCATTTTAAATTACTTGAAAGTTTATCCAATAAAATAAGATTTTTTACCTGTTCATTTGAATTAAGTGGAAAAATAGGTAGTAGTCAAATTATTTCTAGATTCACTTTTGGTCAATGTCTGTCAGCTTTGAAGTCTAGTTTACTCCTAAAAATTACCCAAATAGATTTACAGATTTAAAATTGAGCATAGGAAGGAAAACATCTGTACCATTTTCTCAAATTAACATTCATGCTGAAGGTAAAAGGAAATGCATGAAAGGCTTAAGACGTTAAGACATGCTTACATGTATATCTTAGATTACCATCCATAAAGTCGACTATAGTAACCGCCCATCTTTTTCACTTGTTTCTGTCTGTGCAGGTCATCACACATCCGCTCTACAGCAGCTCGACCACCAACAATGATATTGCGTTGCTGAAACTTGCGTCTCCAGTTGTCTTCACTCCCCGTATCTCTCCTGTATGTCTGGCTCCATCAACCATCAACATCCTGCCTGGAACTCGCTGCTTCACCACTGGATGGGGCGCAACTGCCACCACATGTAAGTTAGACAAAGACCTGTTAGACAAAGACAAATTGCAAAATTTACTCTTGTATATTACTTGTTTTGTTTTGTTTTTTCCACATGACTCTGAACAGTCTGTCTGATGTTCTCTTTTTTCAGCGAGTCCTCTAATCCTGCAGCAAACAGGTCTGCCCATCACAAGTCCTGCTGTGTGCAGACAGATCTGGGGTCAGAGAAGAATCACTGATGCCATGATCTGTGCTGGAGCCTCTGGATCCTCATCTTGCATGGTACGTGAAGACAGATCAAGAAAAACACATTACCATATTAACGTTGCTGCTGTTTCGATCTCAAATGTGTGTTTGTGTCTGTGTGTTTCCCACAGGGTGATTCTGGTGGTCCTCTGGTGTGTGAGAGTTCAGGGGTCTGGACTCTGGTGGGGTCTGTGTCCTGGGGCACCAGCACTTGTGACACCCGTTACCCAGTAGTCTACGCCCGCATCTCCCAACAGCGCTCCTGGATCGACAAGACTATCGCTTCCAACTAGAGCCAGTCTGAGCATTTACCCTTCAAAGGAGGCAAAAGCAGAGTTTAATCATTAATCTGTATCACAGTTGGTCCTTGTTGATGGTCTTTTTGTTTATGACTTTTGGCCTTGTGTCAGTCTGGGCTCTTGTGATCTGCCTGTTATGTTTAATGTTTTGTTTTTTGGTTCATGTTACATGTATCGGCTTAAAAAAAATAATGAAAACTTCTGGTAATGAAATAATGAAAATAAAATGAAATGAATACAATAAATTGAAATGAAGTGTACTCATTTATCTGAAGTTAAAACATAAATTACAATAATCCACATAAAGTACAGCAAACAAAATTAAATATAAAATATTTTCCTTAAAAATATAAGTACTTTAAAAATATATACAACTGTTCCACTTTCACAGTAACAAATGACTGACAAAAGTGTATTTAACAACAGTGCATGAAAAGCTACTAGATACTAACTTCCAAACAAGTCAGGATTATCAGATGTTCTCACCTGTACAGATAAACTATTTACCAAAGGTAATAAAATGCACATGATGTTCACTAACCACCAAACATACAGGCATAAAGATAGATAAAGACAGCCAGAAAAAATCCTTCTGATCACGTTGAAAATCTTCTTTGGTATTCCCTTTTGTAAACATGCCAAGATGACACAGATATGTTTAATCCTCTATCCATGGTGCTGAAACCTGTGTGATGTCTTCAATCAGAAGCAAAAGACACCCAGATACAAACTGGAGAGAAACTTGTTGAAACGCTTCCATTAGAATATGACAAACACTGTTCCATATACTGATTCAGACAATGACTAAAATTTAAGTCACAAGTATAATAATTCTTATTGTTTATAGATTTAGATGCACTTTTATGAGCACTATACTTTTATGACTGTTTGTTAGTCTAGTGGATGACTTAGTAATACTCTGTTGTTTTTCAGTTTCATAACATTATCTTATGTACACAACTTTAAAAAGATTTGAAATGATGGGGGTAGGGGGGGGGTTGCATTTTACAGATAAGTGGCCATTGTCAATAGAACAAAATGCTTTTGAGGGGGAAAATCACATTTTGATTGTTTTGATTATTTTTGTTTACAAGCAAACTGTCCATTTTGATGTACAGAATGAGCAGGAGCCGGAACATTGTGACATTAAATAAAGATATAGTTTGCCGTCTCCACTGGTGACAGAAACTCAATGATTTTTCAGCAAGCTGCAGTGTTTTTAATTAAGTTCCTTCCTTGAGAAACTTCCTCATACCCACAAAACCATATCCTCCTTCTCAGGACATCTGGAGGACATCATTGTTGTCTTGCATTGTCGTCACAGAACATTTGTGAATATCTGAGATGTAACTGATGATTAAAACCGAAAACCCACTTTTAGCTGTATTCGTATTTTAAAATGAATGATCTTAAAGAGACTGCACAATAATTAGGCTACTATTTTGTGCCATGTGGAATCCAATAATAGTTTTGTGAAGACTTCTAAACTGTTCCACTGTCATTGATGTCCCATGGCATGTCAGTTGAAATGCACATGTAGACAGACACAAACACACTGATCGCTGACTCGATCAAGTTAATAATATTTTAGCTTGAGAGCATACAATATTTAAATAAAACAAAAAAGAGGCATAAGGAATACAAAACCAACCATAAAGTGAACAAGATATCATGCACAACTAGACTGTATCTACAGTAATTATACGAAATATTAATATTTATTACAATCTTTTACTTAATGATCCAGTTTTTTTTAAAATAGCCTGGCACTTCTGGCAACTCAAGAACTTTAAAAAAGGAAGTTTACATTAATAACAAATCAGGAGCAGAATCATGTGTTTGGAATGAGATGAGCAGATTATCTTGCTGTTTTTTTTTTTTGCCCCGTTTTTTTCCTTCATGTGTTTGAAACAAGATGAGCCAGATAATCTTGCTTTTTTTACCTCTGTTTTTTTTCTTTCTTTTTTTTCCTTCATGTGTTTGAAACAAGATGAACACGATTATCTTGCTGGTTTTCTTTCCTGTTTTTGGAAGTTTGATTGTCTTTCCTACTGTGTACACACTGTGTAAATACTTCAAAATGTACACATAATAATGTTGATAACATTACAATTCAAAATAAAGCCTAAATGGCTAGAATTTAAATCAGCTCGAATCAAAATGAGTCTCACAAATCTGAATTCTAATAAAACACTTCAATTGCATTTAACAATTAGCGTTAACTTTCATTACATCATCAGTCCACATACTGTGAGTCTCACTGACTATGTCAATATATGGCAATAATTTATTTATATATATATATATATATATATATATATATATATATATATATATATATATATATATATATTCAATATATTTTTTTTTTATAAAAAATAAATAAATAAAACAAACCAATCAAAAGGAAATGAAAAGTAATACATACAAATAAACTAAAACAAAACTAACCCAAAATATTGCCATTACTGTGTTAAAGGTACATGTAACAAACTTTATTTTTATCAATAGAGTTTACTGTAATATAATTCTTTCTAAAAAGTAAATGTAAGTGATGTTGCAGAAAAGCACACAGTTGCACAACACTCTGTCCGGTAACTGTGATTGTCAACTTATTCAACCGGTTGATTAACATTAAGAATTTTTAGTTTTACTTTCCCTCAGCTCTAATAGTGTGACTTAATCACAATGTAACTTAATCACTCAACATCATTCTCTTCCTCTTCGCATCACTGCCTTAAATGACTTGACAGGTTGATTAAGGAGGCAGCTAGATAGATAGATAGGTAGACAGTCAGATATATAGATAGAAACAGACAGATAGACAGATCAACAGGTCAAAGACTTAATGGTAAAGCCACTAATTAACCGTGAGCATTAAGAAATACATTTTTTAGTCTTCACTTCATTTACAGAAACACTTTACATATAATAAATAACCTCACAACAGACAACAACAAAAAGTTGTTCACATCAGATATATTTCATAACCTACAATGACAGAGGAAGTATGATGCTTTTCAAAGATACAGAAAGAAGTCACACCTTCAGAAGATGCACATTGTCTCCAGCGATAACAGATCTCAACATTCCTCAGCTGTGAGGTCATTTGAGCTGCTGGGATGGACCTCGATCACATCCCACATTTAATAGATGATATAAAAGCGAGAGAGAGAGAACCTACAGGTACAACAGTGAGACATCACGAACTCATCGACATCATGATCTTCGCCATCACATGCCTTGCCCTAGTGGCCTCTGCTCTGGGTAAGTGTTTTTAGAAGTTTGCAAGAAAAGGTATGGGTGAACATATATATTTACAAAATGCAAAACCTACACACAGAGCTTCATGTGTCATGAACTTCTGTTCTTTATCTACAGGTTGTGGAGTGCCTTCGATTAAGCCACAGACGATTGGCAGCAAGATTGTGAACGGACAGAATGCCATCTCTGGTTCTTGGCCCTGGCAGGTCTCTCTCCAGGTAACTGTGTATTGACCGACTTTTATCCTGCATTTGCCTGATTTGGTCATCGAGTATATGTCATGTTTTCAATGCTTTTACCTCTGAAACAGCAACCCAGCGGATTCCACTTCTGCGGTGGATCCCTGATCAACCAGAACTGGGTTCTCACTGCTGCTCACTGTGGTGTCGCGTAAGAGTCTTTAATCTGACAAACGCCACATACAATAGTGCTTTATAGATGCTGTTTATCTTTCGTTTTTACAGTTAGTTTTGTCTTTACTGCTCTCTTTTTAGGGTCGGCTATCATCGTGTCATTCTTGGAGAACATGATCGTGGCTCCAATGTTGAACCCATCCAGGTCAAACTAGTTTCCAAGGTAAAGCGATGAATATCAAAATTAGAGATCAACTCATACTATTTATTTCAGTGTTCAATAACGGAACGTTTTGTAATTGTTAGTTCATTTCTGCTTTTTCACACAACTGAATTGAACTGAATCAACGCTGAACTGACTTGAGCTGAATAATGACACTATTGTGTTTTTAGTGCTGCTTTACAGTAGAATGTGTATGTGTCTTATATTTGGTGAATTTTGCATCATTGATTCTGTTATTTTCCTGTGTATTACTGTGATCAATATTAAAGTGCTATATAAATAAAGGTGACTTCACTTGACAATAATAAAACAAGAGATTACTGGACTAGAACAACAAAGACATACCAAATTATATGCATTATAAATGTTATTATGAATCCATTATTATAATTTTTAAATTACTTGAAAGTTCATCCAAAAAATACGATTTTTTTTTTTTTTTACCTGTTAAATTGAATTAAGTGGGGAAATAGGTAGTAGTCAAATTATCTATAGATTAACTTTTGGTCAATGTCTGTCAGCTTTGAAGTCTAGTTTACTCCTAAAAATTACCCAAATAGATTTACAGATTTTAAATTGAGCATAGGAAAGAAAACATCTGTACCATATTCTCAAATGAACATTCATTCTGAATGTAAAAGGAAATGCATGACAGGCTTAAGACGTTAAGACATGCTTACATGTATATCTTAGATTACCATCCATAAAGTCCACTATAGTAACCGCCCATCTTTTTCGCTTGTTTCTGTCTGTGCAGGTCATCACACATCCGCTCTACAGCAGCTCGACCACCAACAATGATATTGCGTTGCTGAAACTTGCGTCTCCAGTTGTCTTCACTCCCCGTATCTCTCCTGTATGTCTGGCTCCATCAACCATCAACATCCTGCCTGGAACTCGCTGCTTCACCACTGGATGGGGCAAAACTGCCACCACAAGTAAGTTAGACAAAGACCTGTTAGACAAAGACAAATTGCAAAATTTACTCTTGTATATTACTTGTTTTGTTTTGTTTTTTCCACATGAATCTGAACAGTCTGTCTGATGTTCTCTTTTTTCAGCGAGTCCTCTAATCCTGCAGCAAACAGGTCTGCCCATCACAAGTCCTGCTGTGTGCAGACAGATCTGGGGTCAGAGCAGAATCACTGATGCCATGATCTGTGCTGGAGCCTCTGGATCCTCATCTTGCATGGTACGTGAAGACAGATCAAGAAAAACACATTACCATATTAACGTTGCTGCTGTTTCGATCTCAAATGTGTGTTTGTGTCTGTGTGTTTCCCACAGGGTGATTCTGGTGGTCCTCTGGTGTGTGAGAGTTCAGGGGTCTGGACTCTGGTAGGGTCTGTGTCCTGGGGCACCAGCACTTGTGACACCCGTTACCCAGTAGTCTACGCCCGCATCTCCCAACAGCGCTCCTGGATCGACAAGACTATCGCTTCCAACTAGAGCCAGTCTGAGCATTTACCCTTCAAAGGAGGCAAAAGCAGAGTTTAATCATTAATCTGTATCACAGTTGGTCCTTGTTGATGGTCTTTTTGTTTATGACTTTTGGCCTTGTGTCAGTCTGGGCTCCCGTGACCTGCCTGTTGAGTTCAATGTTTTGTTTTTGGTTCATGTTACATGTAACGGTTTTAAACAATAAATGAAAACTTATGGTAATGAAATAATGAAAATAAAATGAAACGAATGCAATAAATTGTAATGAAGTGCACTCATTTATCTGGACTTAAAATATAAATTACAACCAATAATCCACATAATGTACAGCAAACAAAATTAAATATAAAATATTTTCCTTAAAAATATAAGTACTTTACAAATATATACATTTAATTTGCAATTTAAAAAAAAAAAACTGTTCCACTTTCACAGTAACAAATGACTGACAAAAGTGTTGCAATATTTAACAACAGTGCATGAAAAGCTACTAGATACTAACTTCCAAACAAGTCAGGATTATCAGATGTTCTCACCTGTACAGATAAACTATTTACCAAAGGTAATACAATGCTCATGATGTTCTCTTATCACCAAACATACAGGCATAAAGATAGATAAAGACAGCCAGAAAAAATCCTTCTGATCACGTTGAAAATCTTCTTTGGTATTCCCTTTTGTAAACATGCCAAGATGACACAGATATGTTTAATCCTCTATCCATGGTGCTGAAACCTGTGTGATGTCTTCAATCAGAAGCAAAAGACACCCAGATACAAACTGGAGAGAAACTTGTTGAAACGCTTCCATTAGAATATGACAAACACTGGTCCATATACTGATTCAGACAATGACTAAAATTTAAGTCATAGCACAAGTATAAAAATTCTTATTGTTTATAGATTTAGATGCACTTTTATGAGCACTATACTGTTATGACTGTTTGTTAGTCTAGTGGATGACTTAGTAATACTCTGTTGTTTTTCAGTTTCATAACATTATCTTATGTACACAGCTTTAAAAAGATTTGAAATGATGGGGGGGGGGGGGGGGGGGAGTTGCATTTTACAGATAAGTGGCCATTGTCAATAGAACAAAATGCTTTTGAGGGGGAAAATCACATTTTGATTGTTTTGATTATTTTTGTTTACAAGCAAACTGTCCATTTTGATGTACAGAATGAGCAGGAGCCGGAACATTGTGACATTAAATAAAGATATAGTTTGCCGTCTCCACTGGTGACAGAAACTCAATGATTTTTCAGCAAGCTGCAGTGTTTTTAATTAAGTTCCTTCCTTGAGAAACTTCCTCATACCCACAAAACGTCTCAGGTTACTACTGTAACCATAGTTCCCTGAGTAAGGGAACGAGACGATGCGTCACTTGACGCTTTGGGAACGCCCCCAGCGTGCATGCGTCTGAGCATCAATGTCAACTAGTCCAATGGAAAGAATGAGCGTCACGGGCGGGTGACGTCATGACCAGGAAGGGATAAAGGCTCGCCCGGTGAAACGCGGAATTAGCTTCAAAAAGTCGAAGCAAGCCGATCACAGGGAAGCAGGAAGTATGGCAGGGTGACGCATCGTCTCGTTCCCTTACTCAGGGAACTATGGTTACAGTAGTAACCTGAGACGTTCCCTTTCGAGGGAACTCGCGATGCGTCACTTGACGCTTTGGGAACGAGAATACCCAAACCGCCAGAATTCCAAGTACCTGAGTGTCAGTCTGTTGGAACTAAGCACTAAGCACCTGAGAACCTGGGGCAGCATCCAGGTCCAAACTGTAAAACCTGACGAATGTGAGCGGTGAGGACCAGCCTGCCGCATCACAAACGTCTTGGAGGGAAACCCCAAATAACAAGGCTTTAGAGGCCGCCATACCCCTCGTTGAGTGAGCTCTGACCACCAAGGGACACGGATGGTCAGAGTACTCGTATGCAAGTGAAATAGCCTCGACTATCCACTTGCTAACCGTCTGTTTAGAAGCAGGAAGACCCTTCTTAGGTGATCCAAAGCAAATAAATAACTGGTCGGACTTCCTCATAGAAGATGTCCGATGAACATAAGTATCCAGTGCTCGCACTGGACACAAGAGGTTCAGCCTTTCCTGGTCCGCAGATGTAAAAGGAGGAGGACAGAAAGCCTGCAGCACGATAGGCCTCGGAATCAAGGTCGGCACCTTAGGGACGTATCCCTGTTTTGGATATAAGAATGCCTTGACCATCCCCGGTGCAAACTCAAGGCAAGTGGGGGAAACCGAAAGGGCCTGAAGGTCTCCAACTCTCTTAAGGGACGAAATAGCTAGCAGAAAGATAGTCTTAAGGGTAAGAAATTTCTCTGAAACCGAATCTAAGGGCTCGAATGGAGCCCTAGACAGGCCTTCTAGTACTATTGCCAAATCCCAAGCTGGCACCCTAGTGCGAGTTGCAGGCCTCAGCCTCAATGTGCCACGAAGGAAACGTGTAATCAGGGGGTCTCGACCCAACGATGTACCCCCAACCAGGGCGTGGTAAGCCGCAATGGCCGCCACGTAAACCTTAAGTGTGGAAGGACATAAACCTGACGTAAAGCGCTCCTGCAAGAACTCGAGTACTGTGTTCACAGAACAGTTAACCGGATCCCACTGATGTCAGTGACACCATACAGAAAAAACTTTCCATTTCAGCGCATATAGTTTCCTAGTAGCTGGAGCTCTGGAGCTTAGGATGGTCTCAGCAGCCTCAGCTGAGAGACCACTCTCTATGAGTTGGGCCCCCTCAGAGGCCAAACCCACAGGTTCCAAATCTCTGGTCGAGGGTGAAATATTGTGCCCCCGGCCTGAGACAGAAGGTCTCTCCTGATCGGGATCTCCAAGGGAGGACCGTCTAAGAGATGGATCAGGTCCGCAAACCAGATCCGACTCGGCCAGCGTGGTGCTACAAGCAGTAGGCTTATTCCGTACTGGCGGACTCGTTCCAGAACTCCTGGGAGCAGAGCAACAGGGGGAAATGCGTACAGACGTAGCCTCGGCCACGTCTGCACCATAGCATCCAGCCCCAGGGGGGCTGGGTGAGTAAGGGAGAACCAAAGTGGACAGTGCGTCGTGTGCTGAGACGCAAACAGATCCACCTCTGCTTGGCCGTAAAACTCCCAAATTTTCTCCACCGCCTCGGGGTGGAGTCTCCAGTCCCCTGGCCTCAGCTCCTGCCTCGACAGGATGTCTGCCCCCACATTCTGGTCCCCAGGAATATACACTGCCCTCAGGGAGAGTACCTTCCCCAGAGACCACAGGAGGATCTGGTGCGCCAGTTTGCAGAGCGGACGCGACCGCAGACCCCCCTGACGGTTCAGATAAGAGACCACTGATGTGTTGTCTGTTCGTACAAGCACATGATGGCCCCTCAGGTCTGGGAGAAACTGTCTCAACGCATTGAAGACAGCCATCATCTCCAGGCAATTGATGTGCCACGAAAGATGATGACTTTTCCACAGACCCTGAACCGAGCGGCCTTCCATTACCGCTCCCCAGCCGGTGAGGGAAGCATCTGTCGAGATCGTGACACGATGGCAAAGAGCTCCCAATACCGGACCCTGGGTTAAGAACCAATGTTTCCTCCATATAATTAAGGCACGAAGGCACCGCCGCGTGACCTTGATCATACGAAGTGGGTTTCCCCTCGGGGAGAACCCTCTGGTCCTTAGCCACCACTGTAGAGGTCTCATGTACAGCAGGCCAAAAGGAATCACGTTGGACGCTGCCGCCAAGAGACCCAACAGTCTCTCGAACTTTTTCACAGTGCGTGACTGGCCTAGCTTTAGCTCTTTGGTGGCTGTCAGGATAGCAGCTACACGAACGGGCGATAGAGTGGCCCGCATCGTCACTGAATCCCATACCACACCAAGGAAAGTGGTTCTCTGTACTGGAGAAAGAACACTCTTCTTGGCGTTGAGCCTCAACCCCAACATCTGCATATGGGCGAGAACGACACCTCGGTGCCGAACCGCCAACTGCTCTGATTCCGCCAGAATCAGCCAGTCGTCGATGTAGTTCAGAATACGTATGCCCTGAAGCCTGAGAGGGGCTAGAGCTGCATCCACGCATTTCGTGAACGTGCGGGGTGATAAAGCTAGACCGAAAGGAAGAACCCGATATTGGTATTCTTTGCCCCCGAAAGAAAACCTTAGGAACTTCCTGTGCTGAGGGAGGATGGAGATATGGAAGTAGGCGTCCTTCAGATCTATCGTGACAAACCAGTCCTCGGATCTGATTTGAGTCACGATCTGTTTGAGTGTCAGCATCTTGAACTTGAGTTTCTGTACTGAACGATTCAACAGACGAAGATCTAAAATGGGACGCAACCCCCCATCCTTTTTTGGAACAATGAAATAACGGCTGTAAAAACCCGACTCTCTGTCGGGTGAGTACACCTGTTCTATAGCTTCCTTTGCTAACAGGGCCTTTACCTCTTGCTCCATTACCAGAGCCTGCTCGGGATGCACCACTGTGGGCAGCACCCCGTTGTAACGAGGAGGACGAGAACCAAACTGGATTCTGTATCCTTTCTCTACAATCTGCAGGACCCAATGAGAAATATTCGGCAGAAGCTTCCACGCTGCCAGAAAATTTACTAAGGGAACCAGCCTCTCGAGGCTGGTCTCTGGTGTTATCGAGACAGCCAATTCCGGAGCCTGAAACATAATGGCAGGAACTACCTGAACTGGCCGCTCTAAGGCCCCCCTCAGAGGGCGCGAAACCGATGCTGTGCCGCAGCATAGCATCAGCGACTCGCTGGAGACCGCTGCGCCCTGAAGCACCAAGGGTGGCAGGGTTGGCAGAACGGTCTCGTGAGGACCCCGAAATGGAACGGGCACCGTATAATGAGGTGTACACCGCTCCACTTCGGTCGGGGCTGTCCTCACAGGCCTGATGCATGAACATCAGGACCTTTTTTTTTTTAACCGAAGTCTTCTTCGCCTGAAGAACGGTCCTCAGATCCGGCTTCGACTTAGAAGACTTCGGTTGAGAGGGTTGCGTCCGTCTCCAGTCTCTACGTGGAGGTGCACGAGACGCAACACTCTCTTTCTGATGCACACGATATGATGAGCTCGACGGCTGGGGCTGCTCACGCCCAGCAGTCCCAGGGGGCTGGACCCGGCGAGGGATAAACTTTTTAAAAACGTCCGCTTGTTTCTTTGACTCCTGAAATCTCTCGACGACCGCGTGGACTGCGTCGCCGAAGAGACCAGAAGGTTCAAGCGGAGCATCTAATAAAAAAGCTCG